CCTCCACTTGCTTCTGTCTCCTTCTGTACTTTTCACCTCCATCCATGTTAGTCCATACTGTTTCACCTCCTCTTCAAACGATCTCCTCCATGTCACCTTTGCACTAACGACCCACTCGCCGCTTCCCTTTCGTCCTGGTTCCTTTCGAGCAATGGTCTGACGCGCGCGCGATGTCACCCAGCGGCCTCCTCAACGAGTGTCCAATCCATCTCCACTTTCTCCAACATATTTGTTGACTGGCGATTGATTCTTGTTTTGTTTGTTCCCAGCCATAGTTTCTTGTTGGCGATTCTTTCCAGCCCAGTCATCTGATCTACAGCATAGAGCCAGCGAAGACAGTTGTTGGCTGATAAAGGTCTGCAACAGGCTGTTGGAAATATTCTTTGTGACCCATCCGCCAAGTTTCTGATCCGTTCCGCATAGAAGAACTGACTGACTTGACGTCTGTATTGAAAATCCGACCGAATTTTGTGGTTGATGGTGGCTGAGTGATGAAGATTTCCAGATTGGTTCCAGGTTGATGAATGTGTTTCTCGCTCGATTTGACATCCCCATCCGTTCCGACTGCCTGTAGTTGAGACAATGCTCCGTAGACAAGTGAAGTGACCTCTTTCAAATCCCTCCCGTTGATGGTGATTGGCGCTGGATATTGCTGTTGTTGGTTATTTTCATAACCTCCGTCTTATCTATGTTCACCTGGAGTCCTGTCTTCGCCGGCTGCTTCTTTTACCAGTTTGTCGGTTTTCGCTTGTAAGCCTTTGATTTTTTAATCATAAACCATGATCATAAATCTCCATAATTTCTTTTCGATTATTTTTGGATTATTCAGAGACGACTCCTCTCGCTAGGCTCAAAGTTTTATAACAGCGAACACAGAGTCAACGGACTGTACACTCAAGTGCAATTTGAAAACCCAATTTACCAAACTAATTGCCTTGTATTTTTATCGGTACAGGTTCTTAATTGTCACCATCTATTTACTATTTCATTGGTATTATACAACAATGATTAACACGCATCCTACCAAAGTACACTGTTCAATGACCTATATGAAAACATTCATTTTACTATGGTATATGAAAGTAATGAGAAGCTGTATTTTCTTGACGACTCCGTGCATCACTTGAAAGATACAAGTATTTAAAGATCCATTCACCAGAATCCTAGGTGGAATGGACCACATTTAAATCTCAATACTTTTTCTACCCAATCAGCTGTAAATCAGCGATATTTAGAACTCTGTTTTACACAGGCAAAAGAATGCACTCTGCTGAGAAACTGGAATCTTGATACTTCAGATGTTGAGAAATAATAGTTCCATTAAGAAATTCAATAACAGTTGTGTGGAATGTGAAGATTTGAATACAGATAGAAAGAGCTATCGGTTTTTCCTTGCCCAGGCAACTCGACGTCTTTACACTTTCTTTTATTTGACTTTGTAATCTTTGGCTTCAACTTCTTTCCCCATTCCACTGTAGTGTAATTTTGCTTGTTTTTTGTTTGTATGACTTGAGCTGAACTTACCACACAGTTACATAACCTATTATTATTATAATTTCATTTAATTCCTAGAGGAACATAGGGCATCAGCCGCGCGTCTCCATTGCGTTCGGTTCATTGCTAGAGTTTTCATCTGGCTCCAAGTCTGCCCACATGCTTTCATCTCCAATTCACATGACCTCTTCCAAGTCACCCTCACACTGACGACCAACCAACTCGCCGCTTCCCTTTCGGGTTCCACTCGAGCAATGGCTCGTCTAGTGATGTCACTTCATGGTTCGCTTCCTCAGAGTATGGCCAATCCATCTCCATTTCTTCCTGCATATTTCTCGCACAATCGGTTCCTGGTTGGTTCACTCATTGCCAGCGATCCGTGTTTCTAATTCTTTCTGGCCAGCCATCTGATCTTGAGTATTATTGAGCGAAGACAGCTGTTGATGAAGGTCTGAATTTTGTTTGAGGTGCTCTTTATGACGCGCTGGCCAAGTCTCTGATCCGTTTAGCGAGTAGCACTCACTTCACATTGGAGTTGAAAATCCGGATCTTATTTTCATTGTGATGCTGAGTGATGTTGACCTCCACACAGACTTAACAAAAATGAAAGCTTGTCTTGCTTTTCCGATTCTGGCTTTGATATCCTCGTCAGTTCCGTCCGCCTGTAGTTGAAACGATGCTTCCCAGGTAGGTAGGTAGGCAGGTAAAGGAGGTTGCTTCTTTCAGATTTCTCCCATTTATGCCGGCTGATTGTTGTCTGTTGTTGTTGTTGTTTCTGTTGGCCAGGAATCTTCATTACTTCTGTTTTCTCTATGCTTACTTGGAGTCCTATCTTCTCTGGATGCTTGTTCTGCCAACTTGTTGCTTTTCACTTGCATATCTTCCAGTTTGTGGGAAATCAGACATATATCATCGACGGGCGAAGTCCAGATCCTCCAAGTTTTTTTGTGTGAGTCCATCTTATGCCTGTTCCCTCGTTGGTTGCCGTTGTCTGTCGCATTATCCAATCTACTGCAATCAGGACCGACAAACAGTTACATAACTTATTAATTATCTATCATCCTATTCACCTTTTGTCCTTAATACTCAACTATATTTCTACTGTCTTCCAAATATTTATTATTTTTGCGTTTTGATTTGTTTAATCTTGAACCTTCTGATAAAATTTTTATAAGCATAATTTCCGGTGCGTTTTTTCAATGATTCTGTATTCCTCTATTAACTTACATCATCTTGACCTTTCAAAGTTTGTACAGCTAGTGAGAAGCAGATAAAATAATTGGCGGTGGCTTCTTGATCCGCTGGAACTGTTGTTTGTTTGTATTAAAATCCAATGTTTTATTTAACTTTCTAGTTTATATTGGTGGAGATCTTCAAAATACAAAACAACCACACCTTTATCTCATAATAAATATTATTTAATGGAAAACTTTCCAAAATATATTTACAATAAAAATTCATTCATTGGTTTTAACTAAAGTAAGTATTAAACTTGTCCACTGATAAAAACTTTCTTAAGATACACTTTCTATGTGGGATTTTAGACCGTCATCTGGTGTTTCATCGTGTGAAATATTATTCTCTTAAATCAAATTGTTTGTTTATTTGTGGACCAATAATTGTAATAAAAACAAAACAACTTAGTTTTCATAGTTAAATAAATAGTCATTTCAGAGATCACATTTTTATGATGAGAGCTACTCAGTAATCCACTCAAGATGTTCTAGTATCATAACTTTACAGCATAACAGATTAGTGAAAGTTTTTATCTCATTTGAATGCTTCTACTGATTTCAAGTTATTCATAACCAAATAACTTGGTTGTGAATTATTTTTATTGTGAATGGTGAACAGGAAATACCCTTAGAATTTTAAAATGTGTATTGAGCAGCAATAAAACAACGACTAGTTTTATCTCTTATGGCATAAAGAGTCATATAAGCTGTTATTATATTATTTATTACTCCATTGGGTTACAAGTAGAGCATAGGGTTTCAACAACCCATCTCCACTTTCTTCTATTCTCTGCTGTCCTCTCCATCTGGGTCCACGATTGTCCATGAGCTCTAATCTCCTCATCCTCCTCCTCACCACACCATCTCTTGCATGTCACCCTCCATCCGATGACCCGCCCATCGTTTCCCATTTGGATTCAACTTGAACAATGGCCTGCGTTACACATGATGTCATTCGATAACCTCCTCAACGTAAGCTCAGTCAACACCCGTTTTCTTCTACATATTTGTCGAGGGATCTCCTCTTGGTTGGTTTGTTCATCGTCAGAGTTTTTTGTTGCTAAGTCCTTTTTGCCGATTGGCTGGCTGGCCATTTCGTCTTGAGTATGGAGCCAGACAGCTAAGCGGGCAGCTGTTGATAAAAGTCCGTAACTTGTTGGAAACCATTTACGTGAGATGTAGTGCAAGTTTCTGACCCATAAAGAAGAACTGACTGGTTTGACGTCTTCTTTATTCCGTGTGCAGAAGATTTCCAAACTGGTTTCAGGCTGATGAAGGCGTATCTTTCCTCTCAGATTCTGACTGGCTTTGACATCCCCATCCGTTCCGAATGCCTGTGGTTGAAACGATGCTTCATGTCTGGATAAGTGAAGGAAGTAACCTCTGTTAAATCTCTCCCGTTGATAGTGTGATTGGTGCTGGTTGTTGTGACAGTTCTTTGGTTATCTTCATCACCTCCGTCTTCTATATGTTCACCTGCAGTCCTGCTTTCACAGCCTGATTCTTCAGTCAGTTTTTTTCTCCTCCTGTAAGTCTTCGACTTTGTGTGACATTAAACACAGATCATCTGCGAAATCCAGATCCTCTAAAGTCTTATTGTTGGAGGTCATACTGTGGTGAGAGCAGGCTGCTAGCCGATTGGTTGACACTAAGCTACGTTAATATGGGCCGTGGCAAAATATGATTCGCAGATAGAGAACTCTATTTGTCAAGGAATCCCGAAACAACCAATCAGAAGCCTGCGTTTGTCTGCCTAACTTCTGATAAACAACCAATCAGATGACTGCGCTTGTCTATAATAATGTATGTGAAATATGTATAAATACGTGTTGATTTTCATAATAAAACGATCTGTTGCCTGGCCCTTGTCTTCTGTTGTTAGAATACTATAAAAACGGCTGAAAGAAGTAACTGATACATTTAGTGAAAAAAATGTTTCTGGCACAATTATTTACAATTTAGATTATGATGGTTCATTCCTATTGACAAACTCTTACATTGATGCTGAACTAAATGACTACAGGAATGTGGTTATCAGGTTATGTAGCTAAGGTTACCAAAATACCACGAAGTATATTGAAAGTTACAAAATCTTGATCTTATAACGTTTTGCATAATAACTGATTCCTCAGTGAAACAAACATATCTTGCTAGGGAACTCCAAATATCAAGTGGTTCAATACTAACAAACAACTCATTTGAATTCAGTATCATATTTCCCATAAATTATAAAAAAATAAGCATTAAAATATTTAAGTATGTATTACTTACTTAACAGTATCGTCAACGTATAAACGGATGATATGAATTGTGATATGCGAATCCCATTTGTTTTAACCATCAAAAGGACATATAACATAGTAGAAGCTAACGCTGCATCATATTTAAAAAAATGCAAAAAGAAACAAAGGCAGTTTATCAGCAACTTTTAAAAAAATGCGGTTATTACAAATGAAAAAGAACGTTTTGAGTATTTGTGGGTAATTTTAACAATTCTTCTATCAACCACATTATCTTCACAAGTATTCACTACGATATGCTTGTGGTGAAAATATTTCTTCAAGTATTGGTTTTGTGGGGAATTTCGTTCGATTGCTTGGAGGACTTCATCATGAACTGACATCAGTTGGAGAACCATTGGGAAACCTGCAGGGAGTACTGGACAGCTGTTCCGTCGTAGTTCGGGACTCTTCATCAGTACTCACCCACCGCAAGGGTTTGAAACCAGGACCTTCTGGTTACAAGGTCAACTCATAATGAAATCCTCCAACAATTAAAGCAAAATTCCCTTCAAAACCAATACTTGAAAAGTGATCTGATGCTCACTGGCGAATGGCCCCATTCAGGCAGTTAACCTGAGGTTCTCTTGGGAAGCCATGACCAGTAGAATACAGCAGGTTGGAGATGAGGCAGCAACTCATCTAGAGAGACACCGCGAAGTGGTCGCCCTATGCCATGAATTGGTAGAAGTTAGAATTCATGGGCTGACGACTGAATCAGGTCCCTGTAGCTGAATGGTTTACGAGCTAGCTTGCCATATAACTGGAATGTCGTAGTTTCGAACCCTGAAGGTAGTGGCGTATTGATGAAGTGTCCCAAACTAGGATGACGAAACAGCTGTCCAGTATTCCCTGCAGGTTTTCCACTAGTTCTATAACTGATGTCAGCTCATGAAAAAATATTTTTGTTTAAAGATACTACATTTCTCTAGAAATTCAGTTAAACCTACCAATTAGTGTATCACACTGTTAAAAACATTTCATCATTCTGTACAGAGAATATCTTCCAGCATTTTTCACACAGCGGGAAAAAAGCTGTTTGTTTAAGACGAATTTCTTCAACTATGGTCCAGTTTAATGAGAAAAAAATCACAGTGACATTCGCTACAAAATAAATGTCCTCCTTTTAAGATGAATTCATTTTACTGTCAAGTAATGTATGATTTTCTTGATCCGAAATTCCAACTTTGTAAATTGTTGAGAAAATAAACGAAGCCTCTTCTGAATCAATCAATGTTCATTAGTGTATCGTTTTGTTATGATCACATGACATTTAATCTAAACTGCTAGACAATAAATAATTTAACTTCCGATTTCCAAACAAATCCTCACTAAAAAAAATGATTTGAACATTTTAGTGACATGTGAGCATTTTTGCAAAGTTATGTCTGTTTGTTTTTTCTGATAGACAAAGTTTCAGGTGATAAAATAAACAAACTTTTGATGATTTATGTGTTGATGGAGTTAACTACACGTTCGGTTTTATGTTTTAATTGTCTGATTTTGAACTGGTGCATTTCAACACTTTATCATGGAACACTGTGAGCTTCAATTAAGTTTCTACCATACTTAGTGAACTAATTATTATTTCCTTTAGTTCCTAGAGGAACATAGGGATTCAGCTGCGCACCTCCATTGCCTTCGGTTTACTGCCAACGTTTAAACTTCGCTTCAAGTCTACCCACATGCTTTCATCTCCAATTCACATGACCTCTTCCAAGTCACCCTCACACTGACGACCAACCAACTCGCCGCTTCCCTTTCGGGTTCCACTCGAGCAATGGCTCGTCTAGTGATGTCACTTCATGGTTCGCTTCCTCAGAGTATGGCCAATCCATCTCCATTTCTTCCTGCATATTTCTCGCACAATCGGTTCCTGGTTGGTTCACTCATTGCCAGCGATCCGTGTTTCTAATTCTTTCTGGCCAGCCATCTGATCTTGAGTATTATTGAGCGAAGACAGCTGTTGATGAAGGTCTGAATTTTGTTTGAGGTGCTCTTTATGACGCGCTGGCCAAGTCTCTGATCCGTTTAGCGAGTAGCACTCACTTCACATTGGAGTTGAAAATCCGGATCTTATTTTCATTGTGATGCTGAGTGATGTTGACCTCCACACAGACTTAACAAAAATGAAAGCTTGTCTTGCTTTTCCGATTCTGGCTTTGATATCCTCGTCAGTTCCGTCCGCCTGTAGTTGAAACGATGCTTCCCAGGTAGGTAGGTAGGCAGGTAAAGGAGGTTGCTTCTTTCAGATTTCTCCCATTTATGCCGGCTGATTGTTGTCTGTTGTTGTTGTTGTTTCTGTTGGCCAGGAATCTTCATTACTTCTGTTTTCTCTATGCTTACTTGGAGTCCTATCTTCTCTGGATGCTTGTTCTGCCAACTTGTTGCTTTTCACTTGCATATCTTTCAGTTTGTGGGAAATCAGACATATATCATCGACGGGCGAAGTCCAGATCCTCCAAGTTTTTTTTTGTGTGAGTCCATTTTATGCCTGTTCCCTCGTTGGTTGCCGTTGTCTGTAGCATTGTCCATTCTACCGCAATCAGGAAAATCATTCGCGATAGTAGGCAGCCTTGCCTTTCTCCTGTTTTAACTTAGAAGGATTCCGTAAGTTTTCGGTTGTTGATTACTTGGCATGCAGCATTGTCGTACAACTGTTGGATGAGATGCATAATTGTCATTGGCACCCCGTATTAGCGAAGTAGTCGCCAATTCACCTCTCGATTGACGCTGTTGAAGGCATTTTTCGAAGTCGGTGCAGTTGAGATAGAAAGATGACTGTCTTTCCAAGCTTTGTTCAATGACAATCCGTAGTGTGGCGATTTGATCAATACGTTACTCTGCAAAATAAGCAGCTATGATTTTAACTTGGTTGAGATTTTGTACGTGATGTCACCCACCAGTGAGGCGTATTTGTAACCTGTAGAAAGCTCACAGTCTTTTCTAGATAAAAAAATACGTCAAGAGGTGTTGGCGTCAAGGGCTTTATGTCATTCAACCCATCATTGTTCTAAGTGTGGTGGCTCATTTGTGATTTTCTAATAATAACTGGTAAATATATTAGAAAAAATTATAAAAAATTATTCCACTTACTTATGTGTAAACCTCCAAAATGCTTGAAAATGAGTTGTGTATTATACGAATTTCGGATACTGCAAGATTCAGGTGAATTCAAATTTTCATCAATATTTGAAATGGGAAATAACGTTTGAAGGAATCGATTATCATAGGATACTGGAAATCCTGCCATCTACAGTAAATAATAAACAATGACTGTGAATTAGGTTTTGGCTGTCATAGTGTTTAAACAATATGCATGATTTTGAGGGATGAGAACTGTTAGCATATGGTTTAATGTTATCTCACCTGATAGTATCTATCCTCTTAGTTTTTTTGGTCAGTAACGAAGATTATTGAGTTTTATTAAGAATGATCTTATGTTTCACGTACCGTCATTTGATCAAGACGTTGAAAATTATGGTTTCCCTGTCTCTCTCTCTACTTTTTTAACAAACCAGTTTTGCATGTTCTTCAAATATCGTGTACTGAAGATTTACTGTAAACAACAAGCCTTTAACCAGAGACTGCAACTGACTCATTTATTGCATTTACTAGGTCTTTTGAGAACGAGTTCTTTTAATTTCTCGATAAGGAGCTTCTTTTTTACTGTCTTAGTTTACATCTGGTAAGAGGAAGCGATTTCACTGTCTTTAGATTATTCATAAGTAATGTAAATGGGGATGACAACGTGTAAAAGTAGTCGAGGGGGAAATATTTGTCTAAATAACCAGTGAAATTAGTAGTAAAGTAGCGAGAATAGAATCCTGTAAGAATTACAAATACAGAAACACAGGTAACCATAAAGTGACATTTATAGAATCTCAGTTGAACCGTTAAAAAAATTTCTGTTTTTATAGAGGCAGAAAGATGTTCTCCTGTCTATTAAAAACCACGAGTTTAATTACCTATTAAATAGGATAGAGTCATCTAACTGATGATAGTCTTCACTTTTTCTTACATTATATTTAGATATGATAGAGAAGATTTGTAGCTCAGGTGGATGATTTTGATGTGGTTGTGTTCTCTGAGCTGGATAGGTGATTTGCGAAGCTTTCATCGCCCTACCAGGCGACATCTTCAGCGCATACTTCAATTCATTGAAGTGAGCTTTTACATTTCTCTACGAGTTTATTAATCATCTCTCCTGGTGACCTTGGACGTGATTGGTTGTTTTTGTGTGTTTCCACACCTTCTAGGTGTGTTAAAAGGTGTGAAAACACACAAAAACAACCAATCACGTCCAAGGTCACCAGGAGAGATGATTAATAAACTCGTGGAGAAATGTAAAAGCTCACTTCAATGAATTGAAGTATGCGCTGAAGATGTCGCCTGGTAGGGCGATGAAAGCTTCGCAAATCACCTATCCAGCTCAGAGAACACAACCACATCAAAATTACATTATATTTGCTAATGCAAATATACGGAATAGTTCAGATTATTAATGCAGTCGAATGGTATTGCCAACAGGCAAATTTTTCCTGTATTTTACTGTCAGGTATTCGGTGGGCTTTATTTTAATATATAAGGATTCCACATTTTTGCATAAGACCCTTTATCCTTGAAAACTATTCATTGGAAATGTAGGGTTGAAGAGATTTATGAGAATAAATGAAATTCAAAATTTCTTGTTTCCCTATATTTTATAACTTTTATGTTTGTAAAACATGTTTCACTGCTTGAACAATTGTTTTTCTCGAGTCAATTAGACTTAGTAGTACCGAAATTATATTACTGTGGAGATAACTTTTAATGCTAATGAGTAAACTATGAAATTTCTAGTAAGAGAGCTGACTCTTTTTTTTGGCAAAACCTCACCTGCACGATTTAATGCTATCAGAGGTGAATGGAAAAATCATATAAGCTGTTAAATAAGATAAGCTTAACTAACTTCATTTTTGAGGTGAAGCGGACTTACATATTTACCTTAATTTTATTAATAATACATTGAAATTTGCAGCTATCAGTACATTATAAATGGGTGAGAACACCCAATACAAGAAATGCAGTTGTTATTAACAAACAGTGAAACAACAGATGACACATATTTTGCGAAATTACAAGAAGGACAGCATTACACTTGTCAATGATAGGTATTTAAGCGTTGACTTGAAGGGATTTGATTGGTTTCACGTTAGATCATGAATAACTGTAGACTAAGAAGTACGGAACAGCCGTTTCATTCTAGTTTCGGGTGCTTCAGCAGTACGAACCTATGTCCCTACCGGGGACTGAGCCCAAGATCTTCAGGTTACAAGGTGAGCCAGTTTACTATACAGGCACTGGGATGGAATTCTGTGGCCCATGCATCTGAACAATTCATGACATGTAGTATAACTACTATCCAGTATCACCTATGAGTATTTGTCTACAAACCCAACTTGATGGCCCCAGTGGTCACGATTTATGAGTAGGACTTCAAGCATTACATTCTTAAACCAACCATTATAGTAGTAATTTATTCATAATAGTAATAATCACTTTACTCCAAGCAATACTTTTTTATACAGAATAGAGTTTTTAGTACTGCATATGTCGCAACAATTTATCTCCTTTTCCAAATAAATAAATACACAAAACAATAAAAATAATAGAGCCGCCAAAACTGGAAGTCAATAGAATTATATACATATATAATACTGATTATAATTTGGTGTTTATTTACGGAATAAAAGCTTTAAACGCTCTTTTCTGACATCTATCTCTTCACATAAACCCTTGCTAAATTTGTTAGGCTTGAATGTCTATGTTTTGGGGTGAGAGCATAAATTTTTATGAAATTTCATCTGATAATACCAGAAGAGATACAAGCCAGAAGATGTAAATAAATAGCATGTTTGTGCTATAAGGCAAGAAAAATTTAGCTATGTGCTTGAGAGAATCAAAATGCTTGTTAACAGCAGTGTCAGCTAAGTTAAAGGCATACCGCTAACCCCGCTTACAGCCTTGAATGTTCTAGACATTATGACATGATCTTTTCTTATGAGCCTAGGAAAGAACAAGGGGAACAATAAAGGTGATAAGACAGAATATATGAATTGATAAATTGTAAGAGAATAGATTGAATTATGTTATGTCAGAAAGTCAGCCGGAAGATCTCCTCCGAAGTCATCAAGATATGAGACGATCATTAACGACCAACAAACATCAGATTGATTTTCGACTGATTTCAAGTTAGATCGCGGAGTGATATCAGTTAAAGAACTATTAAAGGATGAGTTGAAGGGCAATCCATTAATGAAAGACAGAGGGGAATAAAAAAGTTATCACTGATGTCGATATTATTGTCCAGCTGTTCAAAATTTTGCAATACATTCCTTATTATCCTACTAAAATCAAACTTCAACCGTTTAATAATTTCTCTGGTTACGTTTAGTTCCATTACTTATTATAAAAAATGATTTTTATTCGTGCTGAAAATAAAAAGTTATTTGATATGAACTAAAAATGTTCGCTAACGAAACATACAACTAAGATAAGACCTAATTACCCTAAAATATTGTCAGCCTATCCATTAAAACACCGTTGACATTAATAGAACTAATTAAATTAAAATAACGAAAATATATTCAAAAAAATATATAGCTAACATAGACTATAGGAAGTCATGCATATATTAGTACTCTATTGTCTAACATATGACCAATATAAATTTTGACGGAAAATAATTTCCACCCTCTCCGTTCACTAAATCACAACACAGTGAATAGATATCCCTAAACTCCCATCTTCCGTATACTGCCTTATTCAGTACTTGCTTAAAACTTCCGCCTTCGTAAGTTTTGATGAAACATGGACACAACTCTGACTACTAATTGTTTCCACAATTTTTCCAAGCTCTAGTTGAAATGGATACCAAAAGTATTCAGATTATTCATCTTGCCTTCATGGTTAGACTGATAATCACATTTCAATTCTAGATATTGTGTTAACCCTTTTTTTCGCACTACTTGCATGTGATTATTACAAATGTTGACATTTACTTGTTATCTGACCAGCCTTTCAGAACAATCTTCTCGTATAATATAAGATTAACTGGGCAGGCAAAACGAGGAAATGTATAAATTTTATTCAATACATTATGCATAATAGATATGCACCTTCAGAAGGCGTTAAAAGTTGAATATCTTAAATGGCGGTGATGACAGCGGTGATAAGAGTTGTTTCCTGTATTCAAGTGTTGGTTTGTAGGGATATGATTGGTTACAGGATTTAATCATGAGCTGACATTGGTTAGAGAACCAGTAGAAAACGTGTAGGGAGTACTGGACAGCTGTTTTGTCAGCCTAGTTTGAGACTCTCCATCAGTATGCACCCACTACCACGGTTCGAACCCAGGACTTTCTGGTTACATGGCGAGCTCGTAGACCGTTCAACTAGTGGGACCTGATCCAATGGACCATGAATTCTAACTTCTGCCAATTCACGAAATAGCGCGACCACTAGTTTTCTGTATCATTTGTAGCACGTGATAAATACAACAGACTAAAAGCAAAATAAATTAAACAGATAGAGAAGAACTAGACCCAAAAAGCAAATAATCACATAAACGTATGAATATAACTTAACTCTGAATAAGTAATACTTAGTTTTCCATATTAATTCGTATATTAGATATATCACACAGTGAAACAGCATCATTTACTGGATGACGTTCCGAACACAATTCACTGTTCATGATCACTTCGACTATAACCACACAACTTCGACGCTTTCGTTCTATGGTTTTCTTTATTCTTTCCTATTCGTCGATGTAGGGGTATTAGAATTCTCCAGATGTCCGACTGGACAGGGGTTGAATCACTCCTACTACACGTGTCTGCAGTTGATTTGATGAACACAGCTTCCGTTATCAATCTCTCTCTGCAACGTGTTGTATTCGATTTTAAAACTATCATCTTATCCCATCAAATTGAATGGTTCTGTTTAATTGGATGTAGTGAGTGGTATATCTGAACTATTCTCCACATTTCTTGTCTTTTTCGGGTTAATTAATCTGGGCTTTGCTAAGTTTTTCTGCTCCTCTAGTCTGACTGCCCTTGTTCTACTACTCTGATCTATAAATCTGACCTGAAAATCATTGCAGGGTAATTAGGTAAACTAAATTGTTTTGTTTTATTGGCTCTACAGGATCCTTTAACCAACAATGCTTGTGCTAACTGAATGACAATTTTATTACTGCATTGTTAAGAA